CACTGCCCTCAGCGCAGGCCCTCCGATATAACCTCGACTTCATCTCGCAGCAGAAATGATAGTCTCACCATAAATGAAACATATTTTGTTTTTTCCGAGGTCGTCTTGTCTCTGCCCTCTGCTCCGTCTTTATGCAAAGCACACTGATGAAGCAGCCACTTATCATCAAGTGGCTGTACATGAAGGTTTCATGCTATCAGCTAATATATGCATTATTAATCCAGCCGAGCTACCGCGCTGTCTTTATGCATACCTATTAGCAGGCAAAGATTTTAATTCCCATCCGCACCTTCATCCCTCATCAGGTAAAAGAGAAGTTCACAGCAGCGTTGTCAGTACACTGTGCTAAAACTTTTATTGCGGTGTACTGTATGGAAAGTATTGCACCGATCTTCACACAGACATGTCCAGTCAAATTCAGCTAAATATAATTTATAATTGGTATGCACAAATTTCACACTTAAGCAGATACAAACTATATAGTCAACACCAGATAAAAAATACTTCCATAGCCAGAAGAAATTCAGTTTATAGGTTGTAGAGAAGACTCTACTATCATTCATAGCCAGTATTTATGGTTACATGTGTTTTCATCAATGTAACAGAAAGTGACAAGCTTGCTTGATGTCATCTTTAATATCAGCCATCTCCAAACATGTACGAGAAACGAAAGCCTCTCGGTGGCTGGAGTGTGAGGTATCTGTAGGCAGGTGACAGGAAAAGGTGTGTGTGTTAAGGTGTGGACCTGCTCCTGAACTTATGATATCCATCTTCATCAAATGAAAAAAACTAAACTAAATATATAATTAACAGATAAATTGATGGTTATTCACACACATGAACTATATGACCATAAAAATAAGAAAGATGGTTACTTGTTCATTGTGGTGGAGTGTTTGCAGGTTGACTTTTTATAGTATCAGTCTGCAAATGAGCAGTATGCCACTGAGGACGGTTTGCAGTAATGCAAACGATGTGATTTGTACTGTAGATTTATTCCATGCTAATGAGTTCAAACATGATAAACCATGGGTGTACATTGTCATGTAAGCTAAGATTGTGTTAAAGCTGTCACAAACAGAAAAGGCTGATTTTCTTTTTGTTATTATCAGTGATAGTATCAGATAATCTAAAAGATGTATATCAAAGTGTCGCATCAGTATTTTGGAAAGTGATGTACAAAACGGATGTTACATTGACAAAAATCAAGTTGTTCTACATGAAGGCTGTAATTGTCTCAGCTAGGTTTGCTGCCCCATATTACAGCCTGTAAGCAAATCCAAATAATATTTATTCTTGAAGCTGTTTTAGCCTAGACAGGGCATCATCCTTGTAGTAGTTTTGCCTACATACATCAATAATCCCTCACGACAGAGACAAGAAGGGAAGAACGAGGGAGGGGCAGCGAGGGGATTGTTGAGCTGTTGGCATTGTGTTGAAGCAGAGGGGAGTGGGGAGGAGGAGGTATCTGACAGCGGGGGAAAGCCGAAACCCCTGGGGGAGGTTTGTGTCAGCCACATGCGCCGGCTGGTCCTCGCTGAGCCTGGCCTTTTGTTATGCTGATTTACTGGGCTTTTTGTCCAAGACAGATTGTGTGTGTGTGTGTGTGTGTGTGAGTGAAGAGAAGAAGAAAGAGAGAAAGACTTAGCGTATTTTACAACGTATCGAAACCTATATGCGGAGTATATCAATAATCAAATGTTCAGGGGATAGAGAAAACCTTAAAATATACTGCAGCTATACAATACTTCCTCAATAAATAAAACCCATTCATGCAACTGAAAATGTTCAACTGAGTGAGAAAGTGCTTGATCCAGATAGATTTGGCTTAAGACATTCACAAATGAGATGAGGAAGTTAGAAGCACAGCTCTATATTTTGGACCCATTATTGTGTCTTAATCTGAGGACATTCTTTTGTTGCACCCATTGTAACTTTGATAATAGAGAAAAGTGCAATCACTTATTGAAAACATCTAAATAGACACTGATATTTGATTCAGTCAAGCATAATTTATTGTGGTTGTTTTAAAAAATAAAAGTATTTTATTGGATTAATTGTTTGCCCTTTAAAATGTCAGTAAATATTGGGAACAGCACATCAGTTTTCTAGACCCTAATGTCACATCTACAAATGTGTTGTTTTCTCTAAGCAGCCAACCAAAAGATATTCAGTTTAAAATGATATAAACAGAGAAAAGCATGAATTTCAGTGAAGAACCTGGAAACAGAGAAGTCTAGAGGTTTTGCTTTAAAAATGGCTCAATGGATGATCAAAATAGCTGCCAATTAATTTTCTGTTGATCAAGTAATCAATTAATTGTGTAATTGGTTCAGTTCTAGGAAGAAGTGGTGAAAGGAATGAGCTGCAACTGACACAGAGGGAAGAAGAATGAGAAGGATGAAGAGGTACAGAATGAAGCAAGAAAAAGACAGGAATAAAAAAACAGATAAGAGAGAAACTGATAGTGGCGCCCATCAGGATGAGAAGGGAACCCAATCAAGGGTATAGTCGAGTGAGATAAGTGTATCACAGAGAAAGAGAGAGAGGATGACAGAAGGTGTCCCTCTCCCCAGCGTCCAGCCCCCGGCTCTGACGTCATAGGCTGAGAGACACAAAACAAGCTGCTCTCAGCTGAGCTCCTCACTCGCTTTCCACTCACACACATACCCTCCAACGCACATTCGCTCCTGCCCTCAGACATGCTGTAACACTTGCTTCAACACCCGCTCAGCCCTGAGATGCTACACACGGGCGTGCAATCATCTCCACGCCAAAACACTGCGCTGTAGCAACAGGAGAACCACTTGGTCTCTCTCACCTCTGGACTGAATCATGATCTTGTGAGCGATGCCTTTTTCAGTGTGAAGCTGCCGACCGGAGCCCGCTGTGGGAAAAGGAGCGCTCCCAACTCTCGACCCTGACCCCGTCCCAAAAAGCAGCAGATGTGACAGAAGAGGAGAGGCAGAGAGAGAAACACCATCTCCCCCACCCCTCCTTCCTTCATCTGAGAGAACAATACCCAGCCTCCAGTCTGAGAGGGTCGGCTTTTGTCCCCGTGCCAGTGCACCCGCTTAAGAGCGAAGAGCAGACAGACACGCTGACACATTGACCTGCTGCTGTGAGTGGAAAACGCAGTGAAAAACAGTCACTGTGCTTTCTGCACTTTGATTCAGTACTTGGACAGCTTCTGAGCAACAGCTGGTGTGTGTGTGTGTCCTTTCATGAGTGCGTAAAGAGACTCTGTCTGGTGAGGAAGCTGAATTTGGCTTGGGGACCAAGAACCACAGATGCAGCCCTCGTGTTCGCTCCAGCTGGGCCCCCGCGGCCCCTCTCCATCCCTGGGATCACAGGGCAGCACGGCCAGCCTCAAGCAGCTGGAGGAGAAGCAGCTCTTTGAGAAGTTTTGGAAGGGGACTTTCAAGGCTGTGGCCACACCAAGACCAGAAAGCGTGATTGTGGCCAGCATCACCGCCCGCAGGAGGGTGACTGAGTGAGTTCCCTGCTTTGTAATTGCAATCAAAGAACAAACACATCTTATGTATGTTTTGTCCCCAGTTGGAAATATATGTGCTATCCAGCTGCCGTGTTGAATGTTGTCAAAAACTGCCGAGCTTTTTTTCTTGACCAAGAATCTCAGCTGACACAAAACATCACAAGTGGAGTGATGGCTGAGAAGGACATTGTCCAACAGTATTCCAGGTTCTGATGCCACATAGATATCACTGTGGTGTGCTCATGCTAAGGCATTAGTATTCAGGACACTGAATTTCCAGAGCTTCTTGGATTTAACATAACTTGTTCTTTGGGAAATTCAGATTTGGTGTTTGATTTTTTCTGCCAATTCTCTCACGATAATAAGAGCAACTTGACAAAATCTCCAAAAAGTCAGTCTTTTGGCAATTTGCAGGTCAAAAGACCTCTGATTGTGTAGCTGAAAACTGGAATAAATTTGGTTGAAAATAATTTTTGATGTATTGAAAGCCATTGTTTTAGCAGCATATCGGTGACTAATCTCACTGATTAGTTTGAAAAGTGTTAAATGCAGTTGAAACAGCAGATAAATGTGAACTAGATTTCTGCTTTCATTTTATTCCGGTTTGACCTTGATGTCTCGACATCTTTTGACCCACAAATCAGCAAATCAGTGTGTACTGGAGGTAAATACCCTAGTGGTCAATCATCCAGTACACATCTGTATGATTGCTGTCCACTCATGTATGTAGGCAGCCGAACACATGGAACATACAGCCAACCAGCTGGCACGATCAGTGTGTTGTTCACTTAATTGTCCCCTTTAAAGGCTATGCGACAGCATCTTTGTGCCTCTAATGTCAGACTTGTCCTCTCTTTCCCCTGTGACATGGCTTTGTGCCAGCATCTGTGCTGAAAGAGCAACATGTCACATGTCAGAGAGGAGGGGGAGGAGGAGGAGGAGGAGGAGGAGGAGGAGGAGGAAGAAGTCGTCTGTTGCCCTTTCTCCTCCTCACCCCTCTTCCCTCCTTTTTATTTCAGTCTTGCTCCTGTCTGCCCAATCAACCATCGTCTCCTGGCTTTGACAAGTTTATTCATTTGATCGTGCGTACTGTAACAGAGCACGTAAGAGGTGTTCACACAGGTAGATTTAAGTGACCATGCACTGAAAAAAAAGATTTGTTGGATTTACTTCATTGTAATGTGTACATCGGTCCCACACAATGATAAAGTGTAAAACCAACATAATTTTCTTTAGGGGTTAACTTGTTTGAATTATGTTAACAGAGGAAATATGAATGAATTGCGTTGCATATACTAGCATAATTTGTGTAAATCCAAAGACCCTGTGAGTCCTTTTTTTCAGTGTGCTTTACAGCATGCCCATTTGCACATATGCACTTGCACATCAAAAAACGTAACTTGCATGGGTGACCTTTGAACAGTTTTGACACCCACTATCAACTTTCTCTAATGTGAAATTAGCTATGTTAATGACGATTAGAATGGCCCATTTCATCCTACACAGACACAGGCAGCAGAAAGAGACACTGAACCAGATAATGTGTCTTTAATGGCTTCTATTACAGCAAGACCATAATGCGCCACATGGCCTGGTTATAAAGACTGTATTGGATTGTAGGATATAGCAAAAAAAAAAAATCACAAGAATATGACCAAATATGCCTTTATTTCAATGTGCCTCAGCTCAGTGATTTAATCAAATGACTGCAGCAACTATTTTCCTGTCAATCAACCATTGCATGGCACAGACGACAGATTTGAATCTATTTGGGGAAACTGGCAAAAAAATTAGAAACTAAACAAATGGACCCACAAAAAGGAGATGTGATGCATCTCGCTGCCATGAACTGAGCAGCCTTTTTTTAAATAGTTCTGAGAGGAGACTCAGACTCAGGGCCCAGATGTCTCTTAAGCTTTTGCTTCTCCTGGCAGGAAGCTCTCCTCAAGCGGCTCTGCCCTTCCACAGGTACCGTTCGGGTGTCAGTGACGATGATGATGGCAGCATGGAAGGGGCAGGCGAGAGTGAATGTCCCCAGAGAGCAGACATACTGTTGCTAATTCGGCCGCAGCGTCCCTGTTGTCCTCTCTGACTCCACCTCTGTGTGTGTTTACAAGAGACAGACATACAGAGGGGCTTCTGGGTGACACAGATTGTAAATAATGAGTAAAACACAACAAACAACACAACACCCAGAGAACGTGGATGCTGGAGGAGGCTCAGGCATCCTCACTCCCTCCGTGGTGCTCTGTTGATTTTGCCCGAGCAGTGTGTGACTAGGGAACGCTTAGACCATCAGAATGCATGGCCTTAGGCTTGCTCCTCTGCCTCTTTCTTTCCAAGATGAAACATCATTATTCAGTGTGGATAACTGTGCAGTGATGAACAATTGCAGCGAACGCAAGGGGGCATTATGTACAACAAGCAGAGAGGGAAATAAGAGAGGGAGAGCCGCAGGGAGTTGTTTGATGTTCAATCAGCACCGGCCTTTTTTCTGTTTCCACCGCCGTCCTCGCATTTCCTTTCTCTCCTCCTCTTTCTCTCTGTTTTTTTTTTCCTGAAATAAAAATGCTTTAGGGGCATGAGAGCCACAGAGGAGTAATTAGAGTTTGCTGTTCTCCCTCTGTCCTCCCTGTCTCCTCCTCTTCAGGTCAGCCACACAATGGCAGGGAGGAGTTCACTGGCTCTGTGCAGTGGGGTGGGGCTTCACTCAAAGCCATTATGTTTTGTTCATGGGGGGCTTCTTATTTAAAATGCTGTCTGGGCTAAGTTTGGATTGGGTAGTGAGTGAGCGCCTATTTGTGTGCATTCGTGTACATCTGTACTGGAGATGTTTTCCAGCAACTGCAAGGGTCTGAAATGAGGGTGTTAGTTTGCATGAGGGTGTGTGTGGCTGCCATGTTAGTGGGGTCTTGTCCAACTCTGTGGCAGATGGCAGGCTTGAGAGAGTGCAGTGCAAGGGAGGGGTGTGTGTGTGTGTGTGTGTGTGTGTGTGTGTGTGTGTGTGGTAGGGGGTTTCAGGCCTCAGCAGATGCTGGTTTAATGAGGAAGAGAAGGAAGGGGTTTGGAGGCGCTTGTACGCTGACAGCACCGGTGGGGATATACAAGCGGTGGGGCAAAATAACAGGAACACCTTAGAATAGAATTGAAATCCAGCCTGAACAATTACCATAAAGTCAAATCAACACATCTATTAAATGGTCTCATCAAAAATTAATCAGTACAAGAATACTTACTGCAGAGCTGTTGTACTGAATTATATTCAAGGATAATTCAGATTTATTACAGCTCGTATGTTTATATCAAATATTAAGCTTATACTCCAGTGTTTCATAGCTAAAATCTAGGCCCACTGCTACAAATAGTATGACAGGGGAAGAGCTGAGCTCAGAAGATCAGACAGACTGTGAACATGTAAATAAAGCTGCCTATAATCTAAGACATGTCATTTTGAGGTAAAACTGAAAAGTGAGTGCACATGACAGAATCGACTTTAAACCCAACTATGAACGACTGCATTAGGAAATATCTGGTTTAATAAAACAGCAAAGAAAGTTTTTATGTTCATATGCCTGTGCACACAAAAAAGTAATATATGAAATTATCTATGAATCATGAGGTGCAAGTCTATAACAAACATCCAGCCACAAACCCTAAAAGTCTGTTGCTCGTACCTGTGGTGGGTAGAAGCCAAAAACTATAGTGCTGAGAAAACTGACAAAACTATCTGCAACTTAAATCAGTTTACTTTTGGTTTCTGGGTCAAGTTTGGATGGATTCAGAAACTGTGGCACCATGTGTTCACAAGTGCAACAACAAAGCATTTTGAATGTGCTACCACGCTGATTTGCACCTTTGATTGGCTTCTTCTCCGTAGGAATAGCAGCCAAGACTCGGGGGCTTTTTAGCATTTACCGCTGTGTAACTCTGTAGCCCCTCAAACTGAATCTTTGATGCTGATGCTGTTATTGGGGTGTTTATAAGGATTCTGATTCTGATAATGTTATCTCCCCCAGTTAGACTTTATTTGTTATTTCTATTTATTTCTTTTAAGATTTGGGGCTAAGAACATAATTTCAAAACAAAACACCAGTCAGATATTTATAGCTGAAACATCAACTTGTTTGTCTTTACAAAATCATTCTGTAATTGGTGATAGATGGACAGTAATGGTAATTATATTATTGCTCATAGACAGTTAGAGTAGGGTACTTCGTGTTTCATCTTTGTTTGACTACTGTGGGAGTTTTTTTTTTTTTTACAAACTTGTGTGATTGTTTGTTGGTTCTTGCCCCATCTGAAATAATTTTTATCAAAGTTGTATTGTATGTAATTGTAATGCTATGTGTGTTTGTGTCTCTAGCCTCTGTGTGGGGTTGCAGTGAAAAGTGTTTGTCTTGGGTTTAAATTCCTGTTGTGGCTGCAAAACAGTATGATGAAACAAACTGTGTGATCACATGTACATAAATACAGGCATAAAAATGATAAGACTGATAATAAATGTTAATGGTAGATTTTACGGTGCATGGAGCTTCAAAAACATGAAGGAATAGCAGGCAGAGCTCCTGCTTGGACGATGCATCGCTCTCGCTCTCTCTTTCTCTCTCTGCTAGAACGATAAACGCGATTTAGTGACGGACGAGGGGTTTGTCTGCTGTTATACATCTCCCTGTCTGTGCTCCTGCTCTATTCATTCCTCAGTATCTCTACCCGATGTTTCCCTCCCCATCACATCAGTACCTCACTCCTTCCTTCTCTCACTATCTTTTCAATGTGTGTTAACTCGCCCTCTCTGCTTCTGTGTCATATTACTCAGAGCGCACAGGATGAGCCTGACAAGACAGTAGGAGATGATGCCTATTCCCCAGACAGGAATCGGACTTATCACTGAAATGGATTCACATTTGATATTGATTCCCACATAGCCAGTCCATTTGAATCAAACCAGCGGCTGTTGCTTAACACTTGATGCACCGGTTCACTGGATGCGTTATGTA